ATATTAATACTTCATGTGATCTTGAACTAAGAGTGTATATGTGAGTGGATTTGTATGTGTGTAATTCTATCTGTCACATCTATCTATCTATCTATCTATCTATCTATCTATCTATCTATCTATCTATCTATCTATCATAATATACTTTGCAAAATAACTAATAGATAATATAACTAATAGATAAATATTTGCAAATATTTATTTATAGGTTGCAAAATTCAACTTTTTTTGGCATGGTACTCCCAGCAACAGTGAAAAATACTCTAAAGATAATTCTGTATATAAACAGAATCTTGCATAAAATTCTGTACTCTAAATAAATATTTATTTCTGGGACTTCTAGCTATTGAAGTAAAATGGAAAACTTGTTAAAGCACTCAAAAGTAGAAATTTCAGGGACGTTTTGAATACTACACCTCAATAACTCAAAGTCTGCAATCTTTATCCAATCATAACTTTCTAGTGTCTTATCAATTTTATCAGTGTTTCCAAGTTTATATTTACTATATTTATGTTTCATATTACACATGCATGTTTTAAGAACTCTATCTATCTATCTATCTATCTATCTATCTATCTATCTATCTATCTATCTATCTATCTATCTATCTATCTATCTATCTATCTATTTATCTATCTCTGACTTTTTCCAAATGTCTCAGTCTCACTGTAGTGATTGGTGGTATAAAGGTTTCCAATTCATTTAAGAATATTTGCTTCAGACAATAAACAACTGCAAAACGATCTGCCTCATAAGAGGCATTCTTCTGCTTAATTGCAATTAACCCAGTATTTGAGATTTATCCTGAAGGATAAATCCTGTGTAGGAAGGGAACGATTAATGGGATTCCAGATGACATTTGGAAGCACTAAAAACAGAGAATTAAACGTAGAACTTGAACTGCACTGCACAAAGTGTATGTCAGCATCTTCCAAATTCAGAGACAATTCAGATGATTATTTATTGAAAATATTTACATATTGCTTCTCATAAAAGAGGCTAAAAGTACTTTATGATCAAATAGGATACAGTTTTGCTCTGAGAGTTGAAAACACGGTGTTCTTCATGGGCATCCTAGCATGGTGCAATCTCGTTTCCCACTCTGTTAGCAAACCACGAAAAACTTCCTGTGTGTCAAAGGGACACCAGAAGAAAAGTAACTAGCAAATATTTACTACTATACAGGAAATTAAAAGCCTACAGTTTCTTAACCACTTTCATCATAAAAGAAAACTTAGAGATCCTTTGAAAATTTCAACTGAATGGGATTCTTGAAAGGGACACAGCCCTGCAGGAACCAACTCTCATCCAGAGGAAAGTGGACAAGCAGAGGAAGAAGCAAAGCCTGACAAGGAAGCTTCAAACAATAAGGGGAGGAGACCTATGAAAAAGTGATGCTGGATAGCTTTCCTTAGGCTCAGAGTGTTGTTAATCGCCTCCCAGCTTCCCCCTCCTCCACCTAGCAGTTCACTGGCCCAGTTCCTGAAATGAACAAAGATTTTTAAAGATTTTTACATCTTAAAAATACCTCTTGCACAGGTCATTTTCAATTGTGAAATACAAATAGGCCTATTGTGCAGATGTTTCTGTCAAATATGATTGAAATTGATCCTAGGAGAATTTCCATTTTTTTCATGCATGCACACAAACACCCTACTCCCGACTGAAATGCAATAAATATAAAGAGCAATAAACAAGGCTGTATATGGAGATCACAGTTATTCAGGGCCTGTCTTACTAGAGCAACATCCAGAGTTGGTGGGACTGCAGTCCTCAGAATTTCCAGCAAGCAAGGGAATGGATGATGGAATGTTGTTATTTGATACAGCTGAACACCATCAAGCTGAGGAATGATTGGTTTAAACACATTGTTCCACTATAACAAGAGTATATGGGCATTTAATGAATGGCTTTTGATAAGAGAATTAGTGAAGTATCATCATATAAAGCACAATCAAATAATCAAAAGCTGTGATAGACTGGATTTTTTAAAATGTGGCATTAAAATGCAAGGGAATCCCACACTCATTTCTATTTGAGAAATAATAAGAGTAAAAGTCAGAGGTAATTCTCTTGGGTATCTCATACTGGCAGACAGCAACAAGGCTCATTGTGATATCCTGAGCTGGGGTGTGGTGAAGAAAGCTCCTATTCCTTTTTTCTGTAACTAAAACAGAATCCAAAGCTGCCAAGCCCATCAATCATAAAGCCTTTGAGAGCATTTACAGTGGTGATAAAACAAAATAAAGCTGTTTGCCAAAAAGACATTCCCTTTATACTGTTCTATTAAGAACAAGCAAAACAACTAAAGAAATTATATGGTGAATTTATGCTGACACCAGTTACAGTCCTCTACCTAATTACAAGCAGGACACTTTCTAATTAGTATAAAGAATTTGATTTAACCAGAGTTGAGTACTTTGAAGTCCTATCTATTTTGTGGGAGACCACCTGATTCAAACTCACTGTCAGAGTAAGATGTAAAACTGGTTCAAACTGGACTTCTGTTTAATTGGCAATGAGCAGCAGTCCAGTAGAATATTTTTGGACATGTTTGCTCCTGATCAACCAATGACCTGATTACTGTCTTCAAATGCCTGAAGAATATAAGTTGAGGGAGTAATTATGTTCCTGTTGCTCCAGAGGCTTAGACCCCAAGGATGAAAATTTCAGGAGAGCACAAACTGGCTAACATCAGGAAATAATTTCTAAATGTTAGCATTATTTAATAGTGCCTGCTACAAGGAATAAAGGTCTCTTCTTTAGTGGAGATATACCATATTCAGCAGTCACTGGATGGCCATCTCCCAAGGATGTTGTAAATGCATCTATTATTATAGATTTTATTCTGAACAGAAGTTTAGATGAAGTGACCTCCAAGCTCCTTTTCAGTCTATGGAACTTTATTTGTTAGCAGAAAATAAAATGTTAATAAATTAGAGAAGTCTATTATGATTGCAATTGCATAGGTCTTCTTTGTGCTCTGTACATTCTAATTTTCATTTTTATTTATAGATTTATTTTTGTGCTTTCAATTCAGTTTTGACTCCTGGAGACTCTCTGAACTGGTCCTTATAGTTTTCTGGGCAAGTTTTCAGAAGCTTTGTCACTGCCTAAAGCTGAGAGAAAGTGATTTGGCCTAAAGTCACCCAGCTGAGGCTTTGTGCCTCAGATAGAACTAGAACTCACCATCTCCCAGTTTCTAGCCTGGTGCCTTAACCTCTAGACCAAACTGGATTTTGCAGTCTTAATAACTGACTAGAAAAAATGTGGCCTAATGTAGAATTTTTTTGGTCTTGTCAGGCAACCTAAATCCTAAGATTGTGACAACTTTATTAGGATTTAGGTTGCCTGACAAGACCAAAAAGATTCTACATTAGGCCACATTTTTTTAGTGACAACTTTATTTGTTTGGTTTTATGTTGGGACTCTGAAAGTTTGTGTAAATGAGGGGGGGTGAAGTTTGCATAGATGGGGAGGAGTGAAGATTTTTTTTCCAGCACCCTGTGGATAATTAACTGCAGAATTATATTTATTTAGTATGGATCATAGATAAAAAACATTTTGGATTCTTATTTAGTCCAGCATCTGGTTTTTCATGAACCAATGAACCATAACATAAGGGCAATGGCCTTTCTGACTCTTAAACTAGGTTCTCATCACATGATCATCACATCACACTCAACCATTAACCTGGTTATAACTTGCTACTTTGGACCTATCACCACACAGTCATGCTAATGAAGTTGAGGACTACCCGTTTGGGGAATACACAGATGCTCACTGCCTCCACTCTTTCCTGGTATCCCATAAGTCCTTATGGCAGGAGAAAAGTGGCTAGACTTCTCTACATCAGTAAGCTCCTTGTTCCTGGCTCCCTCAAGTCCTGACTATGAATTTTCTTTAGATTTCCTGACTAGGGAAGAGTAGTTTGATCCAATTTGCCCTGGTATAATATTGGTTAACACTGCCCTCTTTTCAGCCAGTACTGACTAGTTTAGCAGATTTATGCAGCATGGTGGACCCTTAATTGAATCAATGAAACAGCCTATGAGGCCCACTTTATTCTACAGAGGAGTCTAGAGTCAGACTCAAATGCTATATCTGATCCTTGCCCCCCCCTTGCTTAAAATAAATGATGTCACTGAGGTAAGGCCAAACCTCAAGATCTTCGGTACGTGAGACTAATGGGATTGGGACTGTGTAGCCTAGAAAAAAGATAATTGAAGGGAGATTGTTGAAGTATTTGAAGAAAAAGCATAAAGAAGAAAGCAATAATTTTTCTCTACTGGGAACATGGAATAATAATTTTAAGTTTCATGAAATAGATCTGGGTTGCATATAAGCATCTTCATAGAGTAGTTTATCAGACAACCTTATTACTAAGGGAGATTATGTGAACTTTTTTATTTGCTGGATGCGGACAAGTAGGCTGGACAGCCATCCAACAGGAATGCTTTCACTTGGATTCTTGCACTGATCAAGAGGCTATGGTCCCTTTCTGGTCTTCTCTGAATCTAAGAAGTAGGGCAGCCAAGCTCTTGCTGATGTTGGAAGGAAAGCAGACTTTGAGAAGAAGCTTGCTTGAGGCTATGCAGACTGAATGGGACAGTTTCTTGTTCCTTGTTTCCCACCAATCCAATAAATACACTAAAGCTATCACTTCCCCTGTTTTGTAATATCTACAATATGTTTTAAGGAGTATATTAGCAACTAAATGTTTCTTAGTAATGTAGAAGCTTGTTAATATAACATTTCCTGTTTTTTTCTGTTCCAGATCTTACAAAACCACCACTGGCCCCAAAACCAAAGATCTTCAGTCATCTGGCTTCCATAGCTGCTTCCAAATTTCCTCCATCACTATCAAGGGCTGGCACACTTCATAATTTAAACTCTATGTCTAGGGGTCCAAAACCACCCATTGCTCCCAAGCCAAAAATCTCCGCTGACAGCGATCCAACAATTTTACAGAGATCCAGTGTTTATGCTAATAATACCTTTAACAAATATCCCAATGGAAAACTGGAAGCAGAACTTTATGAGGAAAATCAGTGCAACAACACAGAGTGTCCAGAATCAGAAGGTGGCAATGAATACATTGTGATTCCTGATCTTGAACCGACTGATAAAATATATAGTGACTGCGAGCAGGAGCCAGCCGAGAATGAGATTCTGCACACTCTTGAACCAATAGGTGAGGAAGATGGTAATTGTATGGACAGCAATGAGGTATGTGGTTGCCCAATAAATGTAATGAAGAACAAGGATACTGAATCAGTGGGAGACAACTCTGTGGGATCGACTCAAATACCAGCACATGACTGCCCCGAAACATTTGAAAGGGAAAAAGAAGATGCTGGAAGAGATGAATATGAAAAATTTGGCAATGAAGATCATCCCAGTGAGACCAAAATGAACTGTGCAGATGAAGCTCTAAGCAAACTGGATTTGGTAAATGATAACAATGAGTATAATATGGATGGCAAAATATTGAATGGAGAATCTTTGAAAGAAACTATATACGATGATATCCTTTTCAAGCATTTAGAGGAGCCAATATCAGCAGAAGAAGATCTGCCTCTAATTTGCAAAGAGGCAGTTCAGTTTTTGGAAGAGGAACAATTAAATACTGATCTAGAATCGGGCCCAGCAAATCACAGTGATAATGATTCAGCCTGGACTAGAGAAAGAAAGTTTATGGAAGATGCTGATGCTCACGTTGCTAATGATGTTGACGTGGACACTGGATTAGAACCAAGTGGGTCCGAGCTTGGTATTGAAGAGAATTTTAGAGAGACCACAAATGAAATGGATGAAAAGGAAGATGAAACAGACCTAAATGCTGGGGGAGAAGTTCTCGGCAATGGTTGCCAAACTACTGAAATGAAGAATGTGGTAGAAATATCAGAGACTGAATGTGAATCAGGGGAAGATTCTGGAGAACAAAATGAAATGATAGACACAGAGACGATGGATGATAGCTGCCAGATCATCCCCTTTGGAAATGAGGGCAGTGAGGATGCTCAGGATTCCCCAGATGAAGATTTAGATGAAGATTTGTCAGGAAAAGAGACTGAAATGCCTGATAATAACCCACCCCTCAGTTCTGAAGATACTAATGGGCACAAATCTGATTTGCAGCTTAGAAAAGAATCTACGTCAGATGTTTTACTTGGAGATCACAGTGCAAGTGAATGTACTTTAGAAGATACACATTTGGATAATCCAATATTCGAGGTGGATCACAATGATAAAGAGGAAACTGTCCCAAATCTAACCAGAGAAACATCAACTGAAGATACTGAGCTTGGAGAATTAGCTAAATTGGAAACAAACTCAGCCAATGAATGTGCAATTGAGGAAGCTACAGTGGTCCCCGAAGCGTCGGTTGTGCCTGATAACAATGGAGAAGTAGCCAGTGATTCCCTAGATGACCCATATGTCCTTGGAGACAGTTTGCCTACAGCAAATGAAATTCTTTATGCTGGAAGAGAAATGCAGGAGGCTGATATCCAAAACAGCTCAAATGATTTCAGGGAGGGAGAGAACATAGAAAATGAAAACCACTTGCTTTCCATAGATCGGAAAAACATTGTTACTCGAACAAGGTCCCACTCTGGGAAAGTACCTGGTTATGTGCCAGAAACAGTTCCAGAAGAAACAGGGACAGATACTGAATCACAGACCTTGAGCACAAACACCATTCTTACTGAAAATTTAAGACACAGTTGCTGTTGGTCAGAAGGAAAACCTATAGAACTGGCTAGAACACTACCTGCAAAGCCAAGACGCTTCATTTTGTACCCTCGATCTTATTCAGTAGAAGGCAGAGACATCCCTGTCTCTCTGTATCGAGAATCTGATAACTCTATATTAGATTATAACAGATTAAACAGGATGGATGAGCTGTCTTTACCATATGTCATTGGTTCTTCAGGTAGCTTTTCCCAGAGGAATCACCTTACATCCAGTGGGGTTTCCACTCCTTCCTCTGTGGTTGATATTCCACCTCCCTTTGAACTAGCCTGTATCACCAAGAAGCCCATCACAAAGAGCTCCCCCTCCCTTTTAATAGACAGCGAATCTCCTGATAAGTATTGCAAGAAAAAGAAGTCCTCCTTTAAAAAATTCCTCACTTTGAAATTCAAGAAGAAGGCAGAAAACAAGGTCCACGTAGATGTTCATGTTTCTTCTTCAAGATCCTCCTCTGAGTCTAGTTATCACGGACCTTCCAGGGTGATGGAACTGGACAGAAGAAGTTTGAGTGGTTCACCTCAGCTGTTATCACGGACCGCCAAACTGAGGGCCTCTGAATCTCCGACTGTTCTTTTCTACAAGGATGGCAAGAGAAAAGGAACCCCCAAAATGTTTAGCAGAAGTGTGTCAAGGGTAGAGTCTTTTGAGGATCGTTCAAGACCACCTTTTATGCCTCTGCCTTTAACGAAGCCCCGGTCTATTTCATTTCCCAATGCTGATACTTCTGACTATGAGAATATCCCAGCCATGAATTCTGATTATGAAAATATACAAATACCTCCACGGAGGCCCACTAGGGCAGGAACCTTTACTGAATTTTTTGAAGATCCTAGCAGGGCCTTATCTGCTGCCAATGAGAATGATGGCTATGTGGATATGAGCAGCTTTGCAGCCTTTGAAAACAATAAACAGCAAACCACCAACCAGGAAACAGAAAGGTATTGTAGCACATATTTATATAAGGCCTGTTAGCCTTGACCACAGAAACTAGACTTCCTGTGTATGGGGAGCTAAAGGCCGATTCTCAAACTTACTTGGCTTATCTCACTTTTTTCAGGAAATGCTTTCTATAAAGTATTTAGAATAGGACTTGATTTTTTTTAAAAAATAATAATAATAATGGTATTTTATATATGTAATTTAAACGTTCCCTACTTCCAATACTTATCAGAAAATTGCTAGATTTTCATATCTGGGCGGCAGTAGTAAATCCAGTTAAATTTTATGAATCTTCTGTAAAGTTTGGACTGAAACTTGCTCATTTTTCTTTTGAATAACGCTTTGAACTCCTCTGTGTATAATCCAACACAGGTAGTCCTTGACTTACAGCCATTCATTTTAGTGACCGGCTGAAGTTACAGCGGCCCTGAAAAAAAAGTTACCTATAACCATTTTTCACTTTTACAACTGTTGCAGCATCCCCCCCCATGGTCACATGATCAAAATTTGGATGCTTGGCAAATGGTTCACATTTATGACTGTTCCAGCCTTCCGGATCACGTGATCCCCTGTTGCGACCTTCTGACAAGCAAAGTCAATGGGGAAGCCAGAGGCACTTAACAACCATGTTACTAACTTAACAGCTGCAGTTATTCACTTAAATACTGTGGCAACTAAAGTCATAAAATGGGGCAAAATTTAACAACTTAAGTTAACAACCATCTCGCTTAGCAATGAAAATTTTGGGCTCCATTGTGGTCGTAAATCAAGGATTACCTGTGGAATGAATGGAATGGAAACTCCAGGGCAGAATTTTCCTCTAAACTATTATACTGCCTTCTACCCTTCCTGTTTCCCTGCTATTGTGCTTATCTGTTCCTCTAAGACAGGGGTAAGCAACGTTGGCTCTTTTATGACTCGTGGACTTCAACTCCCATGCTGGCTCAGGAATTCTGGGAGTTGAAGTCCACGAGTCATAAAAGAGCCAACGTTGCCTACCCCTGCTCTAAGAGTTATAGTCACTTCTGGTTCCCTCAAATGTAAGGTTCAGTCTATACAGGTAGTCCTTGACTTACAACAATTCATGTAGTGACCATTCAAAGTTACAACGGCACTAAAATGACTTATGACCGTTTTTCACACTTATGACCTTTGTAGCAACCCTTTAATCATGTGACCAAATTCAATTGCTTGGCAACCGGTTCACACTTATGAGCGTTGCTGTGTCCCAAGGTCATGTGATTCCCCCTTTTGCGACCTTCTGATAAGAAAAGTCAATGGGGAAGCCAGATTCACTTAACCAGGTTATTAACTTAACAATTACAGTGATTCATTTAACAACCGTGGCGAGAAAGGTTGTAAAATGGGGCAAAACTCACTTAACAAATGTCTCGCTTAGCAACAGAAATTTTGAGCTCAATTGTGGTCGTAAGTCAAGGACAACCTGTAGTTTAGACTTGATTCCTGGTAAAGACCTTATGACTTACTCAAAGTTCATGGCTGGTATAAAGAGTTTCACAATCAATGTTTGGGAAAATGTCTGAATGAATTTCAAAAACTGTTAGAAACTCTGCATTCTAAAATATGTGTTTTTTTAACCATTTGGAGGGGGAAAGAAAGAAATACGTAATGCAGAACTTTAGTAGTGTCAGTTCACTAACTTTTACCTTGGAACTGCATCTTAAGTTCATTTACAGCAGACATGTCAAACTCGCGATGTCACGTGATGTCACGCAACGTATCGGGACGGTTTTGCCATTGCTGGCAATGGGGTGGGCGCGGCTTCCGGATGATGTGTCCGGCCCGTGGGCCGGCAGTTTGACACCCCTGATTTACAGAAAGACTATTCAGAATAAGACTGGTATCCCATGTGCTTATGGGGGGTGGGGGGTATTGAATCTGATGGCCATTGGCTCCTTCCTCCACAAAAGTGGCTTAGCAGGACGAAACTTCAGCTAGGAGCTTTTCAAATAACAGTTCCATAATTCTCATCTCAATGTTCCTCTATATTGTGTTTTGATGAACAGATTTAAAACTCTGTCACACTGTAATATTGTTTAGAATCCTCTGCAGCTCTGAAGTGCTACATTCACAGGAAATTCTTACCTTAGACCATGCATTTAATTTCTTCATATTCAGAAGACTGTGCTATGTGTATTGGCTGTTGGTGAACATACTTAATTAGATTCCATCAAATTTATAGGGCAGGAACCCAATAATGAAGGCATGCTAGATATAATCTTTCTTTACAATTACTGATGTGGGGGTTAGTAACCAGTACATTACCCTCTGAGGGATAGTTACTTCTTTTCCCTCAAATTTAGCTATGTAGTATTAATAATTAAAATAACGATTTGGTAATGGGACATTAGAGATGTCAATACTATGACAATGCCATTGTTCACTCAATGAAAAGCAATCGGTTATACAAAAGAAGAGCAGGACTTTGGGTCCAACAAAGCCTGTAAAAGAGTTGGCCATTAGTATTGTCAACTATCAGCAAAATGGTTGTGATTTGGGGAATCTATTTCTTGCCTTTTAGGTACTACTTTGGAACCATTTCAGTGTTACAAGGAGTAGGTATATACCTACTCAGTGAATCAAGTCATCATCCATTATCTCTCCACACAGCTACTGAGTACTAGGTGTATAGATTTATTTTTCCTTTCATGAAGAGGTTTACAAATATTTAATTACAAGAAGTTAAAAAGGGGTCACTTGGAGGCACCATCTGACGGCAAGTTATACTACTATATATCCTTACTAATCTGAAATACTGGCATTGGAAAAAATCAAAGCAAGGAACACCACTTGTTTTTCTGGACCATGATTTTTCACAACTGGAATAGTGTGAATTTCTTGGTGTTGTATGTTATAGCCCGTGTGTCAGAATTCTCAATTATTAATCATGCATATTTTTTGGGTTTAGGTTATTCGGGTTCTGCCATTCTCCCATGGGCGGGAGGGGGTGGTCGGGGGCTTGTAGTGTATGTAGACCATTTCCTCTATCTGCTTTGGTGCATCCTTTATGGGGTGTGAAAGGAATGCCTGGGGGCCATCTGCTTTATCTCAGCGCACTGGGAGGAACCGGAAAAGACTTACCAATCTCGAGAGAGGCTCCTTATTGGTTGCTTTTCCACAGCTCGATGTCACTGTGGATTGGCCTGTTTGAACCGACTGGATGGACAGTTGGGGTGGGGTTATGGTTTCGCGAGTTTAACCTATTGATTTGGGTGGGAAGTCCTCAGATCCTGCCTAGCTTTCCTGCTTTCTGTACCTGCCAATAAAAGTTCCTTTTGAAATGATGCCAGTTTCAAGAGTTCTGCTTTCTTGGGAGAGAAATGGAGGCAGATCCTTACATTAGGCAGCATCTGCAAAGTGGTCAACCTGGAGGACTAATCCTACTGTGGGGACCATGCAAAATAATGTCTAATCACAGAGGTGAGAAGATAGAAACCGAGCACTTGGAGGGGGCCTCGCTGAAGGCTTGCCTGAGCAGCAGCAGCTCGGACTCTGCCAGCTCATCCAACAAGGTGGACACTTGTGAGAAACTGAGGTGGTCGATCAGAGTGGGAAAGAAGTACGACTGGGACATGAAAGCCAGGAAAGTCACCCTCAAGTGTGGCAGCCATCAACCCAATTGGAAGCATGAGATGGAGAGATCCCTAAATGTCAGTGAAGATGAGGGTGAGAGGCCAGCACACTGTGACCACTTCCTCAAACAAGCCATTGGCCTGCTGGTGGAGGCATTCAAAAACCTCCAGGAAGAAGAGGCCAATCCTTGCCATGGTTCGATAGCCATGAGTCTGGACGAGGAAGAAGAGGTCCAGGAGAGTGAATTTGCAAACCCCGGCCCTTCCAAGAAGCCACTGGAGTGACAGCCAAGGTCACCAACCCAGTCCATGCCACCCCAGCTGGAGGAGATGGATGCTGAGCCAGAAGGAGGGGGACTCAACAGCCTGACTGCAAGGTCCCAGACCTGGGGGTAAAGTATGATGGATCGCCCCAACAGTTGGGCTTTTTCCTAACCTGCATCCTGAGCTATATGCACAAATATGGGTGGGACATCCCCGGGGACCTTGGGCACATCAGGATCATAAACCTGGCCCTGGAAGTGTGGCTACTCGGTGGATGGTATAACGTTGATGCTCCCGAGCTCCAGAATTTTAACCTGTTCATGGCTGGCCCTGAGAAGGAGGCTAGCCGATCAGAAAGCCAGTGAGCGCATCAAAACCATAAAACAGGGCACATAACAAGTGGCCGAGTACACTGAGGAGTTTAGAGACTTGGTGGGCTGCCAACCTCTACCAGGCTTGCATCACCTGGGGGGATCCAGCATGCCTCCATGGCTGGTACATAATGGCGGAAGAGGCTGAAATTGACCTAGCACGCAGCCAACGGCGAATGGACTGGACCTGGAGATGTTCCTCTCAGAAGGGAAGAAAGAAATGGCAAAGACCCTGACCATGAACCCACATTCGACCACCTGCTTCAGATGTGACAAAGAAGGCCATCGAGCAGCCGAGTGCCATTCAAAAGCACTCATCCTGAGGGCAGACCACATCGTAGGAGGAAAACCTTAGGAAAAACCCATCTTTGAACAGCAAATCAGGGATCGAGTTTAGACGAGCACTATAAACCAATGAATGGTTTCTGAACCATAAGAATCTTTGCCTGATGAGGGATGAACTACTCTGGGTAGGAGAAAAGTTATATGTGTCAAAAACCCAGAGAGTAAAAATCATGCAACTCTGCCACGACTCAAAAGTGGCAGGGCATTTTGGGTTTGTGAAAACTTTCCATTTGACCAAAAGGCAATTCTGGTGGCCCTCTATAAAAAAGGATATTGAAAGCTATGTGCTAAGCTGCTCCGTTTGCGCAGCGGCAAAGTGGAGATGGGAAAACGCCAGGATTATTACAAGTGGTGGCCAGCCCTTCAGCACCCTGGAGAGAGATCTCTATGGATTTTAGAGTAGAACTGCCAGAAAGTGCAGGAAACACTGTCATTTGGGTTGTGATGGACCTATTTATCAAACAGATCCACTTCACACCTGCCAGAAGATTCCCATTGCTAAAGCCTTAGCCAGATTATTTGTATTACACATACATTGGCTGCATAGGGCCCCACAATGCATTACAACAGACAGGGGGGTCCAGTTCACCTCAGAGTTCTGGAGAGTTTTTTGGACTTTCTTGGTACCAGTCAAGGACAGTCATCTAGTCATCATCTGCAAACGAATGGTGGGACAGAACGATTGAACTCAGTATTAGAACAATACCTGAGATGCTTCATACCAACAAGTCAACTGAACTGAATTGTTGCCTTTCGCAGAAGTCGCTTACAACAATGCAATGCATTCAAGTACCGGCTACTTACCGTTCCAAGTGGCAACAGGACAAAGTTTCAGATGTCTGAGTTAGCTGTTAACGAGCCCACCACCCCCTCTTTGAAAGAGGGAATTAAACAGCTGCAAAACACCTGGCCTGTGATTAGAAAAGCTTTAGATGAAGCGAGAGAAGCTTATAAAATTCAGGCAGATAAGAAACGAATGGAGCCTAAACCATTCAAAAGAGGGGAAAAAGTATGTATCTCAACCAAATTTCTAAAATCCCTGCAGCCATTGAAAAAGCTAGGACCAAAATTCCCCATAAAACACATAATTAACCCAGTAATAGTGGAATTGGAACTCCCAAAACCATTGAGACAGGTCCACCTGTATTTCACTGCAGCCTGCTTAAACGGGAACTAACCTCCCCTTTAAGGCCAGCAGAAGTTGTCCCCCCCCAATCCATTATGGTGGAAGGGGAGCAACATTTTGAAATTAAAGAGATATTAGACTCCAGGAAACATCTTGGGTCAACCCAATATTTAGTGGCATGGAAAGACCTCCCACCATCACAAAATGAGTGAGTGCATAAAAAGCATGTCAGGGCTCCCCAACTGCCACCGTATTATTTACTTTATTTCACAAAGCTAAAGCCAAATCAGAATGAGAACAATTCTTCCCATCCTCGTTCTGGATTGGCTATATGCCATCATGAAGCCAATCACAACTGGCTTTATGAAATTTTTATAAACCTAATACAATGTAACAGCAGGAATCCGTACTCTCATTTGGAAAGGGTGACATAAATGGAACTAAATTATCCTTCAGCTTAAATTCACATTCTTCTTTTTATTAAAAATCTTGACAAAAGAAATGAAGGAACAATAGCAATCTCCACTTCAGATCAGTGTTAATAATTATGTCCCTGAAAGTCCTAAAATGTGAGTATTTATTTTATTAGGAGAGATAAGTGCTTTTTCATCATAGAGGATTTGTGTTTTTTATAGAGATAATGCAACAATTTCATGAAACTGTTTTCCAGTGTTCCACTCTCATCTTCATTAGGTCTGCCACTGATATCTCACAGCTTAATATTATCCATTTTTTGTCTGCAAATCTATCTCATTATTTCTTGGCACTACTTGATTTGACTTGAATCTTATTGCTTTTTTCCCAATTATTGTTTTATTATCTATCATAAACTCAAAATGCCTTTTACGCTGGAATATCAGTTGACTAAATGAATTTATATTTTCATGACAATACAAAATTCAGTATATTTTCTTTGTTCACCAATCCTGTTCCTGTAGCTTACATTTATCTCTAATAAATATATCTTTTAGAATTATTGTCCCCAGTTTCTTCAATCATCTATTTAATTTATTCACTACCCTCCTAGAAAAGGGTAGAAAAAATATAATTCCAGTGCATTTCAGTGTGTTATCTTTGCAGTTTGCTTATATCTAATAAGTAATCGTTTCTTTATTTCATTAATAAAAAAACAATTGCATTGCTAATCGAGCACTAAAAAATGCTACTGACATTTTAAAGATCCTTTGTGGTTTTAAGAAAATGCTTCTGTGTTTAAATAGCAAATTATTTTGCTACTTAAAAGCAAAAGGAAACAAAAACAAAAACTCCTCCCTACCCCCACCCCCATCCCCAAGGGGGCAATAGAAGCAGATCTTGTAACATCTTGGAGTTATTCAAGAATCAATATACTGATGTAAGCTTGCACAGACAGTATCTGCTGGGGAGTGTTGGGCTTCAGAGTTAATGACCATGTTCTAGAAAAGAGATTTTCTGGTGTTTCCTTCAGCTTTTCCAACAGCATCCCCATGGCTTCTGTGACTTGTAAAGCAAGCTGCTGCTTGTTTAGAATAGAATAGAATAGAATAGAATAGAATAGAATAGAATAGAATAGAATAGAATAGAATAGAATAGAATAGACCTTGGAGGTCTTCTAGTCCGCCCCCCCCTCAAGCAGGAGAACCTATACCATCTCAGACAAGGACTGTCTAGCCTCTTCTTAAAATTCTCCAGTGATGGAGACCCCACGATTTCTGGAGGCAAGCTGTTCCACTGGTTAATTGTTCTCAATATCAGGAAGTTTCTCCTTAATTCCAGGTTGCTTCTCTCTTTGATCAGTTTCCAACCATTGTTTCTTGTCCTGCCCTCTGGTGCTTTGGAGAATAATATGACCCCCTCTTCCTTGTGGCAGCCCCTCAAATACTGGAGCACTGCTATCCTGTCGCCCCTGTTTCTTCTTTTCTTTAGACTAACCAAACCCAAGTCCTGCAGCCGTTCTTCGTATGTTTTAGTCTCCAGGCCTTTGACCATCTTAGATGCTCTTCTCTGAATTTTTTCCATGGTCTTTTTTGTAGTATGGTGATACTATGGTCTCACTAGGGCTTTATAAAGCAGTACTAATATTTCACGTGATCTTGAATCTATGCCTCTGTTTATACAACACCAGTTTCTTCTTCTCTTTCCTTCCATCTTTTCCAGGATTTGAGTCCTGGCCAGAGAGCTGTGTCTTCGCATAATACGTCCAATATGGGATAATTTGAGCCTTGAGTGAGAACTCTGGCTTGGATTTTTTGATGATCCAGCAGTTTGTTTTCTTGGCTGTCCATGATATTCTCAGAAGGCTTCTCTAACACCAAAGTTCAAAACATCAATATTCTTCCTATCTTGTTTTTTTTTTTTAATCCAGCTGTTGCTTCCATGGAGTATCACAGTACAGGATCATTTGTGCTACTTTTCTTTTAAGTGTTAAAAAAAGTTCAACTATACAATAAGAAACATTCTTATACAAAGGTGGGATGCCATCTAGATCAGGGGT